GCAGAAAAGCACATTCTGGCCTATGAAGGAATTCAAAGTCGTTTATACAAGAACTGTTTACATCCACCTTATGCTGTGCCTTGTGTTTTGACATAGTGTTAGGAGAATCGGCTTTCAAACAAGACTTTGGGATTTTGGAGATATATTTTTGTTTCTTTCCAGAACAGTCAACAGCAAGATTTTTTCAAAGAAGGGGGCTCTGCCTCGAACAGAACAGTGTTGCTAAACTGAAGACTGGATGTGGGAGTCTCTGCCAATGGATCGCGACTCCTGAGCGCCTAGCATCCAAATGCCTATGTCTACACTGCTCCTTTCTTCCAGAGCTCAGTCAGTTCATGTCCAATATCATAACGAAGCTTCACAGCTCAGGCTGCAATGTGGCCGACAGGTGGTGCTACTCCTCCTCCACCGCTGACAAAGGGGTGCATTAAACCACTCCCTTGTTCACAGCGACAAAGAGCAAGTCAGGAATTAAGACTGGGACAGACCCAAGCTTCCTGATTTCTTCGCCTTCATTCTGGGCAGATCCATCCACTCATCTGCTTTACTTCCGATGCAAGAGATTACACTGAGTTACTGCAGGATTGCTTTCACTGCAACGCTGTGTTTATGTTTATTATTGTAGGGGTGCTTCTGAGAACATAACTGTTTACAATGATTTCCCCCAGGAAAATCAAAATCAAAACAATAATGAACTTTCATAAACAGTCTAGGTTCCAGGCCTCAACTCTTGGCAGTACAGGCAGAAGATACAAGCAATGTTTGAAACAGCTTTTGGTCCCAGGGACCGATTTTGTGCCTGCCATCTTTTGTCTTCCAGTAATAAGTGAGCACCAAAACATTACCTCTGACCCCTCAGCCAGCCAGAGAGCAGCAGGAAGGTGACCCTGTCCTCGGATGGCCCAGCTCCGTCTCAGAAAAGCAAAAGGCTGCTCTCTGAAAAAAAGCATTCCAGAGAAAGGAGTTGTATGCCCTACTAAAGAAAAGATATCAGAAGGGAGTGCACTGTTCATGAGATTAGAGGGTCCAAGGCTCCTTGATTTGGGCTGTAATGTCAGTTATCAGATAAAGGTTCAGCATAGCTAGAAACAGAACTGCCAGTACCCTCTACATAATTCGGAAGTGCTACAGGGCCTTAACCTATAAATCAAGCACAGACACTAGGACAGGAGAGTAAAGTGCAGTAGACAGGAAAGACACTTAACCACAACATGAAGACAATCCTGAGATGAAGATCTCTTAGGACATTAGAACACTGGGGTAATACTGCACATCAACTATATTTCAATTTTTAAAAAAAATTTAGCAATACACTAAGGAGGAAAAGCATGTTCTGGGAAAAAGGAATTGGGTATACAGAAGCCCATAAGCCAAGAAACTAGGGCCCAACCTGTGTACACAGGTGTCTGAGACCAGAGAGTAGGTGTGGGGAGTCATTTGGAGAATTAGCTGAAAAAGTTAAGAGTGAGCATTTTTCTAATCTAGTGTTGCTCTGCCAGAGCCACTATAATAAAATGCAAATTTGACCTCAGAATTCCTCTCCCTTGCTTAAAATACTTTAATGACATCCCAAAGGCTTTAGGATGAAGTTCAAATCCATTAGCTTGGCACCCACGGCTCCTGATGACCTGCCTGCTCCTCCTCTTTAGTTTTGTCTCCTACATCTCTCTCATAGGCCCTGTGCTCCAAATAAATGCAACAACTCACAGTTTTCCAAACATGGAAAAAAAATTATTGGGGAGGAGGGGGTGCTAAGGCCAATGGAAAAGAAGCGGTAAGTACAGTAATTCTACCTGGAAGCATGACGCAGGAACAGACCCAGCATGTGAAAGAGAATTCCAAGTGCCAGAGGGAAAAATCAGCAGGGACAGAAAGTGATGGTCAACAGAGCCACATTTCACTTAATGTTCCTAAGATCTAAGTTTTTCAAAAAAGAGAAAGCCTCAGGTTGGTTTGAAACACATTACATACATGGTACAACATGAGCTGTACCAAACAGCAAAAGAGGGTGAGCCTTCATTTGGGAGGAGCCACTCTGGTCAGTCCGAAGGAGCACACCCGCAGCGAGAGGTGATGTCACTACTCTGCTGCTTGTTATTTGTTCCTCCCAACACTCTTGGCTTAGGAGGTGCAATCCTATTTCACAGAAGGAGACAGACAGAAAAGAGGGCAAGAGATTCTACCAAGGCAACACAGAGCTCACAAATGCTTCCTTCTCCTGAGACCAGAGTAGCAACAGACCACAGAGTCACCTTTTAACTTAACCAAGACGTACAAAGACTTTTTTCACTTAGGAAGCAGACGAAAGGCCAGAGGAGCTCACGTGGCTGTGCACAAAGGCTCAGCTGATAAATGGATAAGGGACAGTGGAAGCACAGGTCGGACTGTATAGAGCAGCGCATAGCTCACTCACAGCCATTAAGCGTGGCTACGTTACCAAAACATGTCTCTGCAACTCTTTTGATTTACTCAGGTCTTTCTTCAAAACAAAACAAAACACACTCTGAAAAAAGCCATGGCTTAAGATAAAATTTTCCATTCCTGATTCCAGTTAAAAGAAACTTTGAGGGGTCACATCAGCCTGCAGCGTGGATTTTGCTGTTGATGCTCTTGGTTTTCCACACAAATAGACAAAAAAAGCAAAAAAAATAATGACACTTTTATATTAATGTTAATCAACATTCTCATTCCTTCCCCAACCACAGCCAGTTCATTTGAATGCTTATAAGTTCCAACGAATGCTGGGCCTTTCCAAGGTTCCACAACTCTCACCAAGATCTGAGCCTATTCAATTTCCTTTAGAAAAATGCTATTTAGGGGGGAAAAAAAAACCTGGGGTGCTTTTATTGCTAAATCATTAATTACCAACCACCCAACAGATAAGAAATCTAAACAGTTTTCTTTTCTCTGGAAAAGGACACTTCACACTGTATGAGATCTATGCAGACTTCTCATGTAATCACACCTTTCTTGTCATAAAAAGGTATCTTAGAAATTACAAACATTGATGCTTGAAAATCATCATTGGCATAGTTTTTTTTTCCTACTATAAAAGTAACATAAGTTCACTAGAGTAAATGACATACTTGTAATTACCTGTTCAATGTCTGCCTTCCTGCTCTCTGATAAACTCCATGAGGGGAGGGCTATATTGTCTCTCCCTTTTGAAATGTGCTCAATGCTTATCACACATATCAATAAAGATGTCCTGAATGACTGAGGAAAAGCACCAAGACAACATAAAAATCACCTTTAATCCTGTCACCTAGAATTTATGCATAATTGTGTACTCTTCATTTTTAACATTATATTGTGAACATTTTGTATATCTTAGATAATACAGTATTTTAAAAATATGATTATATTCCTTTGTATGAACATGTCCTTCCTTCTTTAAACTCACATATTATTTTTTGACCACCTATATATGTTAGGCCCTGTGATGCTGCTAAAGATACAGCAGTGAGGTACACATGGTTGGAGACAGAGATTTTTATATACCAGTAATTTTAAAAAAGAAAAGAAAAGAAAAGCTACTGCAAACAGTAGCTTTGTGCAAAACATCTCTGAGTTTACTTCTAGGATATAGATCCAAAGGGAGAAACTTCAAGGCACTTTGATTTACACTACCAAAATGCTTTCTTAAGAAGGCTGTGGCAATTTATAATTCCATTAGGAAAATATGACAGTACCTACCTCTGGCCACATCACCGATACGAAACATTATTAATTGACAGTGATGAAAAATAATTTAGGGGAGAAATGGTAACTCACTCTTCAAACACAGAGTTCTTTAATTACTACCCAGCTCAGCACTTTTTCACATGTCTATGTGCTATTTGCAGTTCTTCTATTGCAAACTCTGTTATGTCCTTTGTCCACTGTTCTATGAGGTGTAAATGTTCTTACTGATTTGTAACCATAGATAGTAAGGTATTTTCCTTTGTTATACTTTCTGTAAATATTTTTCTCATTTGCTTTTTGCCTTTTAACTGCATTTAGGATTTTAACATAGAGCAGCTCAAAAACTTTTAGAGTCAAATCTGCTGATCTTTCTTTGGTTCTCCTTCACGGCTTTTTGCTTAGAAAGTCTTTTCTCATCCTCAGGACTGTTAAATACACAACTGTATTTCCTTTTAGTTAAAAAAAAAGTCTACATTTAACTCTTCAATCCACCTGGAATTGGCTTTCTCCCCACCTCAGGCTTCTTTTTAATAACAATTTCCAGGTACTTAAACCAAGGCATCCTGCTCGACTTCCTGGACACAATCAACCATGGTGTACGCTGCTCAGGTGCCAGGCACATTAGGGACTATAAGTACACAGTATTGCTAATTCTCCCACAACCCTGTAAGGGATGTGATAGCTTCCATTTTACTATAAGCAAAGGTTGCTGGAGGGAAAGTATGTTTCTAAGGCAAAAGACTGGCAGAAGGCAGGCAGGCTAGTATGTGAATTTAGATCTATCTGCCTGGCTCCAAAACCTGTATTCTTTCCACTTTACTGTGCCCTCCAAAGTGACCTCTATTCCTTCTGAGATCCTGTAATATTTCCTGTCTGAATTACATGGCACTCTGACTATACTCTAAGGGTCACAAACACGAACAAGTAGCGTAAACGAGGGGCATGGGCCACATGCAACACAGTGGGGTGTGGCTGCAGGGCCTGCAGATAGGTGGTAGTCACTCTGTAGCGCCCTTACTGGTCCCCTGGTATT